AGCGCGGCTACGCGGGGCTCGAACTAGGTAGTTCGGACTAGGGTGCCTATTCCGAACTACCGGTACACCTCATTTCACGAGGAGTAACGGTAGTTCGGAATAGGAACCTAGTCCGAACTACCTAGTTCGAGCCCCGTGTAGCCGCGCTGCACGGGGTTCGAAGCAGCGGGGATTTAAAAATGACGGCTCCCCGCTTATGCTAATGAAGCCTGGGAAATTCAAATCCCGGGCTTCATTAGCAAGTGCGGTATGCATACATTACCCCGCTAGTTCGAACTAGCGGGGTAGTGTAGACATACCCTATAAGACTGAAAATACAATGGAAAGAATCTGATAAAAGAATTCTGATGAGAAGAGGGCTGGAGCTCCAAGACTCACAAATGCACGCCATGGATTGGAAGAAGTGGCAAAGTACTGTGAGCATGTAAACAGGAAAAGAAGTCAAAAAGTGAAGATTTGGTGGTGGGTGTGTGTGACATCAGTGGACATATAAAGGCTTTTCTACCATTTTAACTATATCTGTTAGAAACCACTATAAAGCCAAATGGTAACTGCCTCTCCCCCTTAGATGGGTGTGGTTATACCTGGATAAAGGTGCTTATGTAGGTTTTTCCTGTAAATTTAGGGGAGCAAGCTATATAGTGTTATAAGGTACCTTTATATTTTTTGCATTCTTATTAGAGAATTGAGCTGATTTAACTATTGTGGGGTTTTTTTTAAATCACAGCTCTAACTGAAATAGTTAATTGGTGTAAAAACTGTGTGGACTAAGCCTAAGATTCAGAACACAACAAAAATTATAGCATTATATATATATATATATTCAGAACACAACAAAATTATAGCATTATATATATATATATATATTTATATATATATATATATACATGTGTCTTGTTTTATCCTTGATCTTATTGATCATCCCCTTGGTAGTAAAGCTCCACACCTTTGTAAGCAGGGCATAGTTTGGCTCAGTAAGCTTGCATTTTTGTGAGTTTGTACAATGCAAATGTCTGTCTGCATTTGGTTATTGCATATCGATAGTGTCTGTCATGCATACATTCATATTTGGAACATATGTATCATTAAACATAACTTAATAGGATGCTTCCGTGTGCACATTTGAACACAGTATTACAGGTGCTTGTGTGAAGCAGATGCACGTGTCTGTTCACTGAGAAGTATGAAGGGTGTAAGGCAAGGAGGAGGCATCTGCATACTTGAGAATGTGTCCATCTGTGGACACACGAGTTTGCATGAAACGTGGGTGGATGTATGCACTGGTTCCACAGACCTGCACTGTTCTATGCTGGGATGAGGGTGGACGACAGACGTGTGGATTCCTGAGTCAGTGAGCGGTGCAGAGTGTAGCTGTCTCTCTAGCTGTGAGCAGCTGCTAACTCAGCCGTGATGCTGCATGCAGCCCCTGCAGACGCTGTGCTCCAGCCACTCTGCAAAGCGAGTCTATCTGCCAAGTGGGTGAAGGGCTAGAAAGTGCTGGAGAGGAAAGTCGGCTGCGCCCGTCCCCCTGGCTAGCTCGGAATGAGCCGCTGCTGTGATGTGCAAGATGTCTTTCAAGGTAAGCTTTGCACTGCAGAGCTGGGGGGGGGGGGGTCCCATCCCGTCCTCCTCTTCCTGCTGCCGCTGCCATGTCCCGTTAGCACTGCAGATGCTGTGGCTTTAGCAGGCCTGGTTGTTCGGCTGCCGTGTGGGTCTGTCTCTGCTTACAGCCGCGGCTCTCGTTTCCTTCTGCAGTCACTATTCCCCTCCCCCCGCTCCCCACGACTTTCCTTGCAGCCGATGGTCTTGGGGGGTAATGGGCACAGCTGCAAGTGTTTATATTTCATATGTTGTTGATCTTCCTGTATATGAAGCAAGGAGAAGGGGTGGTGGTTAAAGTCTGCGTGGCTCTTGGCGACTCATTTTGAGATTTAGTTTAATTGTGGGATAACTGAACATGAGTGCCAATTGCGAGGGGTAGTAATGGAGTGTGGAGGAGAACAGTTATACTTAATACAGAGCACAAGTAAGGGGGTATAAATATAGAAACTAACTACATTTTTTCCCACTTGCTAATCTATGAGCTACTAGGCCCATTTTACATCATAGCTCTTGACTTGTTTTATACTTGGTCACAAAAGCCCATCTCTTTGTGAAACTCTCCATAGTTCTTGTTTAAAGAAAAACAGGGATTGTTTGATCTTAAGGGAAACAAGAAGTAAACTCTGTAGTTTTTTGGGATATATACATCTTATGTTAAGTGTCAATGAGACTTTTTTATATATTAAATTTATTAACATAATAGTTCGATAAGTTATAAAACTATGTTAGTCTGCACTTTTGCTTTAGGACAGTCAGAATATACATGTGTACATATTATTTGTAATCTTAAAACCCTCACCTGTCATTGAGTTTTAAACAGTTTTAAAAACCATTTTTTTTTTATCCCAGCTATATCATTTGTTTACAACATGCATTTCACTCAGTCAGTGAAATTAGACTGTTTTTTAGTCTCACTTTCTGGTTCTAATCAGTTTCAGTTTTGTGAACAATGTTTAAAAAAATGTTTTAATTGGGTTTTCCTATCCCACTGGAATATTTACATTTGAAATCTGAGTAGGCCTTGTTCCTGAGTCATCCTGATGGGAACATGCATGAGGAAGTATCACAGGATCTGACCCTTATCCTTGATCTCATAGGAAAAAAAACCATAGATCCAAAAAGGAGATTTAAGGACCAATAAGGAAGGAAGAAAGCAAGAAGCAATTTATAGATAATATTAGAGAACATTTACTCTGGACATATGGCCTATAGCCAGTTGTGCAATTTTCATATAATTTACCTACTCTTCACCTATTGATTGCCAACTCAGCACCAGTTCATTGCTTTGATTGATTATTTCTCCTCTTTCCTGTAAAGCCTTTTCTTTGTTCCATTGTCTCCTATTCTCTCCCTTAACAGCAGCACCTGCTCTTTCTTATGTACTGCCTTTGTGCATCACCACTGTATTGTTTAAGTGGTGGTAGTGTCTGAAATGTGCTGGGTTCCAAACACAGAGGAAGAATCAATTCCTACCCTGAAGAGCATACCCCTTCTCCTAATGCTCTTATTTTCACCCATGCTCATTTTCCCTCAGTCTTCTATTTTCAAAAATCCTTATCCTCATCATCATCATCATCACTCCCTCTGTTTCCATTATTCTTCTTATCCTTCTGATATCTCATCTCCTCCTTTCTGGCCTCACAGATATTCATCTAATCTCCCCCCTTCTTCCACTCTCCCCCCCCCTTCTCCTGGACGCTGGTAATAGATGTTCTACATAATTCCAGACCCATGTAACTACATTTTCCTATCTCTGCTTGTCCTGCCTTTTCACCTATTCCTCAGGCGTTGCTCCTCAAACCTTGCTCCTCTTAGCTGTCTCTCTCCTCTCCCATAACTACTTCCCTTTTTCCTGTTCCCTCTGGGACATTTTATCTAGCTCACTGCCTGACTAATGTAACTCTTGCAAATTCTTTTTCTTCACCCTTATCTTTCCCTGGCTATCTCCTTCCACCTTTGTCTGTGGCTGCCCTGTTCTGTGGTGTTCTCCCCTCCTCCCACTTTCCTGCCCAGAAGGCTACAGTGCCTCCTTTTTCCTCTTCTGTTCCATCTCCGCCTATAAATTACATGTGCTTTTGATTTTCTTGTCCATACTATATTTCATGGGACTATCATCTTTTCTTCTAGCAGCTCTTCTATACTTTTGCTTATGATAGGTGCCAGTTTAAAATGCATCCAGTACCAGCATATTGCCTTTAAAATCCACTGAAATTATATGTGATCAAAAATACCAGCACAGCCATAGTTTAAAATAATGCTTTCAAACATCTTCATGAAGTGAAGGAGATCAAATCATGGTGCCAGAACAAATGACATATTGAAATAAGTTAATCACATTTTCACCAAAACTATCAGCTGATAACTTTTCAAATCAGTATTATATTCTGCATCACACTTGTCAATGTTCGGAATTAGTTGTATACCTTAATTATCCTTTTTTTCCTGGAGCTTAACTCACTTTAGAAATATAGCACAGTTTTATCTAACATCTCCCATAAGTTAATAGTGCCCCTCCCCCAAATAAAACCAATCCAAGTTGATTTTTTTTATACTGCACCCGACACAATGGAGTCCAGGTACCATGGTCATACAAATAAATAATAAAGCTAGGACTGAATCAGGAAGTGAGCAATAATGATCAAGGCTTACAGCATTTCCTGGAAAGTAAAGATCAGTGAGGAGTCCCTTGCTCAAGGGTCATTAAATCCAGCTGGTCAATAATCCCTTAATAAAGCCCTGTTCTCAAATGACTATTGCCCTATTATCTGATAATGAAAATAAAAAAGCAAAAGGATATAGAACTTTGTTTTTAACTTGGGATATAATTCCAGTTGGTATGTACCAGGTATTTTTAGAGGATTAATGTCCTGTACACTGGCCAGACAGCTTGAATCATCTCTGTGCATTCCATTCAGCTTAGAACATAATAGCAAACATTGGTTCTCTTCTGATTGTTACATGATTGATGCCTTAAGTCAGTATTCCCCAAACTTTTTACCTCATGCCCCCCTTTACTTCTGTTGACACACACCCCTCTATCCGATTGTGCTAATTTCTATGCTCCTTCTCTGCCTCCTGCCAGCCATGTCTTGGTATGTAGACGTGCAAAACATTTTATAAAATGTCTTGTGATTTATGAAATGGTTGAAACTTCTCATGTAGTTGACAATTATTCTAGTGGCTAAAAGCTATACAAATAGCTATGTCAGAGGGGAGCTGGCCCCATGAGATCTTTTCTTAAAGACTTCAGTTACCAAAACAATGTTAAGATAACATAACATACAAAACAAAAAGAGTCAAAAACACAGACCATACTCTGTAAAAGGGTCCCACGTCAGCAGGTGGGGCACCACTGACTCCCCAAAGTGCCCACAAGTCCATGAGGGACGCCTCGGTCTTGGCTGAGTGACAGTTTGTGAAGCCCAGCCCAGGGTCAGGGTGGGCAGACAGACAAGGGGTTAATACAAATAGTCACCAGCAATCAAAGCCTTGGCTGGGTCCCAGCCGGACCGGGGGTTGGGTCTCCTCGCTCTGGGAGAGCGGACAAGTGCAGGGGGGTTTGCCCCACAGGAGGGAAACTGCCATCCCAAAAGGAGGGATGGCAGGTGGGACAGGGGCCCTCTCTACTCCACCGCCTCCCAGCCCAGGGCCCTGACAGTGGTGGCCTTGCAGTCACTAGGTCGGCGGGGATCCAGGCCGTTACATGCTAACAAGGTCAAGGTTCAGCGGGGGTCCAGGCCACAACATGTTGCCCACCCGACCTCTGTGTCTTCAGCCTCCCTGAGGTTGGCTATCCCTGGGCCGCTTTCCAACCCCCTTCTCAGTGTTCCACCTCTCGACAGACAAGACATCTCAGTGAAAGGATACTTCTTCCATCCCCACAAGAAGAGACAAAATAACCCCATCACTGTCCCCATCAGTTGTGGCAAGGGCAGCATATACACACTCTGGTCAAATGAAGAAAGAGCAGAAGCAGGTACATATGTATCACATTCATTCTGTAAAACATGGAAGGTGCCTGCCAGCTCTTCCATCACTCCACCACCCACTTCCCCAGTTTCCCAATTCCATCTCACAGTCACTCCTTTCAAGCAGAATCCTACCTCCAAGAATTTCAATACGTCTTCCTGCTGTTTCCACAGCAGCCTTTCCAAATGTGCAAATACTAGATCACTGAGAGACTGGTGGCCTGAGCAGCTGTCAGGGGCCAAGTTAAATTTGACGACGAGTAAGTCATTGTGGATGGGAAATGTGGGGAACAAGAATGGCATTTTCCTCAAGATTCACAACCAGAACGAATATAAATCAAGGAAATTGCCCTCTCCTCCCCCTCAGTAAACTCTTGGAAGTGAATGGTGAAGTGATAACCAAGAATACATAGCACAGAGGGCTCAAAGGAAAGGCCTGCCTCACCCCAGCAGAATAGTCTTCTACCCTTGCCTCAATGTCTGCAGCCAAGCGGAGAAGGTACTCAGGATCCCATAGTGCTGTGGCACATTCCACAAATACTCACACCATACTTGATCAGAGGTCTTACTTGATCCAGGAAATAAATGTACTCGTGCCAAAAACCTCCCAAAGATGTCACTGACTTCACTAGCAGCCTATCCTTGACTGCATTAGCCTGGCTGGCTGGATTCCATTTCGGATCCATGGTACACATTTTGGGACTTGGAGACATCAGGAAAGATGGTGGCCAGGAAATTGGCTGAAAACCAGGAAGTCCCACAATGGGACATTAGACTGGTATGTTTGAGTCTTCATGGTCTTTGGTTTCTCTGCTGAGACTGTCAATATGAGTTTCGGTTGTCATTATTCGTGACACTCCTGTGGTGTGGACTCAGAGGTAAAAGTAAGCAGGTGCCCAGCAAGAGCTGGCTGAGCTGCAGCAAAAGCCTACGGGGAGCTATTTAAAGAGCTGGCAGAGACCAGGTTGCAATAGGACAGTACCTGTAAGAAATTCTAAGTTACTTTCACCGCTGTGTTGACTCCTTTTCTTTGGGAGCTGGACTGAGATCTCCAACTCACATTATTTAGGCCACCAAGAGTCAATCGAGTTTAATGACTTTCAGTCAGTATTGACACGGGAGAGATTTGAAACCAGATAGAATCCTTGACCTTTGTAAACTGCCCAATGTAAACAATGAAAATTAACACTCTTGCCCCAAAATGGTTATCAAAGAATGACATGCTAGTTGTATTGAGAGCATATGATGTTTGTACTTGTTCCAAAACAGATTTCAATCTTTTTTGTCTTAACAGAGGGAAACACCACTCGCAAATGCTGCATTCTGGGCTGCAAGAAAAGGAAACCTGGCTCTTCTTCAGCTGTTGTTGAACAGTGGGCGAGTAGATGTGGACTGCAGAGACAGTGTAGGCCCTCAATATGTGCTTGCCCAGATCATATGCTTTACATCACTTTACGCAGCCCTCTATGGGTGCACCTACACTGCACTGTAGCTCAAAATAAGATACTCAATGTGTGTAGCTCAAATTGCGTATCTTATTTCAAAATAGCTTATTTTGTACTTTGGTGCTGTGTAGACAGTGCCAAATTTCAAAATAACGCACTATTCCAAAACATCCCTTACTCCTCATATGGAATGAGGTTTACAGGAACGTTGGAATAGTGAGCCCGTTATATTTCAAAATAACAGGCTTGCTGAGAAGATGCGGGATAGCTATTTTGGGATACTCCGGTATCCCGAAATAGCATTGCAGTTTAGATGTAGCCTATGGCGGCAATGATTTTAATGCAGTCATTTGAGTATCTTATGCAAGGTTTAAAACCTCTAGCTGCCATGAAGTATTTTGTCGGCAAAAGTGCTGACAAACAGCATTTACATTGCCTGACTTTTAGCAACACAGCTGTGTCACTAAAAGCTCTGTGTTGTAGACAAAGCCTTTGTCTCTGACCTTCCTGTGTAACATTGAGCAAGATCAGTCACTTCTAAATGTCTGTTTTCTGCCCTATGAAACAGGTTAATGATGCTTTGCAAAGCTCTTTGAGATTCCCTGACAAAAAAATCATATATTGAAATTAAGGATATTATTGATTAGTATTTATTAATAGGGATCATAACATGAGAACACTGCATAGTGATTAGTATCAGAGGGGTTGCCATGTTAGTCTGAATCTGCAAAAGCGATAAAGAGTCCTGTGGCACCTTATAGACTAACAGATTTATTGGCACATAAGCTTTCTTGGGCATCTGACGAAGTGGGTCTTTCCCCACGAAAGCTTATGCTCCAATAAATCTGTTAGTCTATAAGGTGCCACAGGACTCCTCGTCGCTTTTTCACATTGATTGTATCCTGTTTGGACTTCACTGTTAAACTCTAATCCTGCAGTGAGCTCATTGCTGGGTGCAATTTTTTGCAGGTTTGGGCATTAGCATTGAAGGCAAGTGAGTGAATGTTTGGTGCTGTAATTACTTGAATTAATTTGATTCTTTACTTTTCACAGAATTTACAATGGCAAATTTTTAAATCCATTTTAAAAAATTGTTAGCCCGCAATTATATGTGAAGAGATAAGACAGAAGGACACGTTTTGTTCTTTGGGGAAATTAGAATCAGTTATTATATATGTCCCCCCAGTTCTGCTGAAAAGTTGCGGTCCATTTCTGTCAGTCTGAATTATTATTAGAGATAAGTCTAAAGTGCTGATTTGTTTTTCTTTATGCCCAGCTTGGCACAACAGTTCTGATGGTAGCTTCTCATTATGGCCACATAGAATGTGTGCGGGAACTGGTGTTACAAGGAGCAGATATCAATCTGCAGAGAGAGGTAGGAGAAGTTCTGCATCTTAAAAAAGGAATTGCAAAAGCAGCCATTACTGATTGGAATTATAGAAACCCTAGAGGAATATTACCAAGTGCTTATCTGTTAGTTTCTGTGCAGTATAAGTATAAACAGAATCTATTCAGTAGGTTCTCCTGACAATTCAGATTTCTGGAATTTTAAGTTGAAAAATGAGGTGCAGGATCTACCCCAATATGTAATCCATCAAGAGTTTCTAATTGCACCCAGTTTGTGTGGACTGGTTTCATCCTTATTGTAACCCTATTGACATCATGCATACATTGATCTTTATATTCACAATGCAGTAACATTCAGATTTCAGAAAGTGATTAATAAGGAGAGGTTGATTACCATTTAAATTAGAGACCAGCTATTAAAATGGACTTGGCAGAATTACCCTGGGAATTATTCTGGTCCAGTCAGTGAGCTTTGTACTGTGTTCATTTAAGTTGGCAGCAGAAGACTATCACACAACTAAATCACACCTTACTTTGTGAGGCCAGGACAGTTGCCTCCAATTTGTTTGTATAACATTGATTATAACTTTAAGTCAATGGTTAGGTTTTGTGAACATCCCTTCAGTAGCCAAATCTATAGTCATTCTGATTTGTGGGCTGTCTAGACATATAGCAATGTTACTCTGCTGGCTAATGGTCTTGAGAGAATAGTAATTTAACAAGAGTTTGCACTAATGTTGGCTGACTGCAGAATACAGTGATCAAAATAATGGCACTGTTGTCTCTACTGTAATAAAAAATGTATTTTTAACCTCTCTTGGTTACCTGGAACTAAGACATAATTCCCCTGCTGACATCTGTAAATCATTGCCTCAAAGTAGTAGTTGATTATATAAGTTTTCTGGAATTGATTCAACCAGTATAAAATTGTTGACTAGTGATAACTATAAGGCCCAAATTGAGCAAAGCACTTGAGAACAAGCTGCTGCAAAAGTTATACCACAATGGAAAGAGAGTGAACAACAGATTTTTTTGAATGCATTTTTGTGCATCACTTGGCAGGTAGCAAATAAACAGAAAGGAACAACCCCTTTGAATGGTGCAGAAGACCTTGTAAAAGGCCATCTTCACTGAAGTGAATTTCCTCCTGTCGCTCCCTTTTTTCCTGCCTTTCCAGATGAGGTGAAAAAGCCACAAGGGAGAAAGGTGTGAGTTTGAGGAGAATGATGTTAACCTTCCTTTGTAAAGTGCTTGGAGATCTACTCATGAAAAGTGCTAAAGTGTGACATACCAGGATACAATCTAGAGGTGTCAAGACTGAATGCCCTTCAACCTTGGGTGCCTAACAATGCCTTGCTGAAGTAGCTCCCACCTGTATGGCTCACAAGCAATTTTCCAGCATGCAAGCCACACTCAAGTGCATCCACACAGCAGTGTTATTTCGGAATAACGGCCATTATTCCAAAATAATACAAGCGTCTACACAGCCATTCCGTTATTTTGAAATAACAGATGGCTTATTCCAACATCTCTAAACCTCATTCCACAAGAAACAACATCTATTCCAAAATACCTATTTTGGAATAGCAAGAGTGTGGACGCTCCACTGCTGCTATTTCAAAATATCTCCACCCCAGGGCCATTCAAACTAATTACTCCCCAGTGCCTCCTGGGACTCTAAATCAAAGTAGCACATCCACATTAGGGGAGTCTGCCTCGGACTAATTTTTTAGGCTTCCCTGTGGTGTAGATGCGCTATTTTGAAATAAGCCATTTCAGAGTATTTTTTCTAGAATAGCTTATTTCAAAATAAGTGTGCAGTATAGATGTAGCCAGAGAGAGAGAGAGAAAGAAAGAGACTGACTGACTGTCAGTCATGCAGTTATATTCTAGCTCTCACAAGCCTTGGTTTTAGTGCAGGCTGATCCCAACAAACTCCAGTTCCACATTTTCCCATTATAGGTGTATGTCCTATATCACCCAGCCATTTCCTGGACAGTACAAAATGGGTATGTCTAAACTACATGTCTCTGCCAACAGAGGCATGTAACTTAGACATACCAACATAGTCAATGAAGCGGGAATTTAAATATCCCTTGCTTCATTAGAATAAAAATGGCCACCGTGTTATGCCAGCTCAGCTGTTCATTGGCTCAAAGTGGCAGTCAAGATGGGGATCGATCAACAAGGAAAGCCGTTGTTGTCCAATCACTTATGCCTCGTGAAACGAGGTTTACAGGATCAGTCAACAACGGCTTTCCTTGTCAACCGATCCCTGTCTTGACTGCTGCTTTGAGCTGAAAACAGCTGAGCCAGCACAATGCGGTGGCCATTTTTATTCTAATGAAGCGGGGGGGGGGGGGGGGGGTTAACATAGACTATGTTGGTATGTCTAATTTACATGCCTCTGTCGGAAAAACCTTGTAGTCTAGACATATCCTGTGGCTACGTCTAGACTGGCATGATTTTCCGCAAATGCTTTTAACGGAAAAGTTTTCCGTTAAAAGCATTTGCGGAAAAGAGCATCTAGATTGGCACAGACGCTTTTCCGCAAAAGCACTTTTTGCGGAAAAGTGTCTGTGCCAATCTAGAGGCGCTTTTGCGCAAAACAAATCTGAGCTGTCTACACTGGCCCTTTTGTGCAAAAGCTTTGCGAAAAGGGACTTTTGCCTGAACGGGAGCAGCATAGTATTTCCGCAAGAAGCACTGATTTCTTACATGAGATCGTCAGTGCTCTTGCGGAAATTCAAGCAGCCAGTGTAGACAGCTAGCAAGTTTTTCCACAAAAGCAGGTGCTTTTGCGGAAAAACTTGCCAGACTAGACACAGCCAATATGTTTAAGTCCATTATTCCTTTAAGGGAACCATATGTCATCTTATTACTTTGAATAGTTATTCCGACATCAATTTAAACACATTGGATTAGATAAAAAAAGTAAAAGTTTATTAACGACAAAGAGATTTTAAGTGAATACAGATAATGAGGAATTGAAGTCAGAAATGGCTACAACAAAAATAAAGATAAAACATTCACTAATATCTAACTTAAACTATCAGATTCAAGCAAAGTTTCTCCCCACATACTTTCAGCAATCTTAATGACCAGATCCCAGATCCCAGTGAATGCTTTGTCACTTCAGGTGCAGTGAATGCTATTGGCAGGAGGAGAGAGGCAGGGTAGCTGTGGGGTGTCTGCCTTTTTTCACATGTAAGGCTGCTATGTGCATTTGGCCATGATAATATTGATTAGCAAATGGTGAGGTTAAAGGAAATGATACCCCATAAGACACACCTTGTATAAAGATTATCACAGTTCTGTGTAGGGTATGAACACAGGAAGATATTGTCACAATAAGATCTAAGTATTAATAAAAACAATAATATTCTCTGGTAATTTTTGTCTCCCGCACATTTAAATCTGAAAGAATGGAGTCCCATCCTGATTTACTGGTATTTTAGTGACAGAAATAGGCATGGAAAATATTTTGGCTTTGAGTCTTCACAGTATGTGAGCTTAGTTCATAGTAGAACTGGTTGCAGCTCCCTGATATCTACACTTACTGTCCTTCCTTGTGCAGCCCTATCTTAGGCTGGTGGTGGGGACCAGGCATCAGTGATGCTGTCACAGGGTGGTAAACCCAGCCCCCTCAGAGACAGGGAATTGAACCTCTCAGGCCTCATCTGAGGTGCTCCACCCCATAATTGTTACCGTGCCAAGTCAGTAGCAGCCCCCATCAGCAGGGCAATGGGGCCCAGTGGCCAAGTCAGTAACAAACAGTCCCTTTTGCAGGGCAGTGAGCTCTATTGCCCAGAAGTGGTAGTCCAGATGTAGTGTCCCCCACTTCAGGGTTAATGGGATGGAGTGAAGTAGGGGGAATCCAGGCCCTCCCTCTCCACCAGGTCCCAGCCAAGGGCCCTATCAATGGTGGGTGTATCCCACCATTTGCTCAGCAAGGAATCCACAGGGTGTGCCAGCTCCCTACCCTGGGTTACTTCCTACCCTGTTCTAGACCATCAGCATCTTCCCCACCTACATCCTCCAAGCTGTGTGCTTTCCCTGCTGGTCTCCACTGCAGTGTTCTCCTCCAGTCTGGGAGCCTCCCTGGCCAGTCTCTTCTTGCTTGCCTCTGCTGTGGCATCCAACTACTGCACCTTCTCCAGCACACTGGCTGCAGCTCCTTTCCCTACAGCCCTGATTGAGCTGTTCCACTGGCCTTTATACTGGTCTTCCATTTGAAGCATGCCCAACAGGGCTGTGGGGGAGGGGCTCTCTCAGCCAGGTAGGCCTGGTTAACCCTGCAGGCCCAGTGCAGGGTTGGTACACCCCATCACAGAAGCATAAAGTATAGAGGAGCTTTGCTGTGTGACATCCCTTCTGCTCTTACCGATACTCCTTTCCAATACATCTCCTCTTTCCTCTTGCATGGGGGGTAGAGTGGCACCTGGTGCACTGTAAGGAGTTCTCCTCTGCTGGGGAGATTCTCCATTCTTTTCCTCCATCCACTTTGTCTCCACTTTGGGCTTTTTATGGTGACTCGCTGCTGGACTGCAGAATCTGGTCCTTAATTTTTCAAAAGGAAAAAAAAATTATTGGGAGGGCGGGCACAGTGGGAAGGTGAGACAGGAGAAGCAATAATCTGTAAACTATCATTTGTAGACATGGTAACCCTTAAGATTTAATCATCTGGGATACAAAAATTATCAGAGAAAGAAAGAGAGAGAGACTCATGCCTATCTTACTTGGGCTTTCTGGTCGCACTTGAACTCACAGGGCACAGAGGCTTCATGGAGAAGTCTGTTTATGTGAGTGGAATGGGGAATATAGATTTTACGCAGGTAAACTGGAAATGGGATAAGCATCAGTAAGGATACAATTCTCTCACAGAGGTCACGGATTCCGTGACTTTCTGGGACCTCCATAATTTCTTATGGGCAGGGCTGGTACAGCTGTTAGTCCTAGGGGCTTCCGGAGCAGCTGAAAGGCAGTCAGCCCTGCGGGCTGCTGAAGCAGCTGACAAGGAGCCAGACTGCCAGGCCTGGGTCAACCCGCTCTGGGGCTGGAGCACAGTGGTAAGCCTAAGCCACCTGAGCAGCAGCGGGGCTGGAGCAGTTGCATGACCCCACAGCTATTTATCCTCCCTGCAGGGTATTTGTAGTGTTCTGTGGTGCCAGTAGGATTACAGTAGGGATGAAACCAGTCCACACAGGGACAGGTTATGGCAGGGGTGGGCAATAATTTTTGATGGGGGTTCACTCCAAGATTTTGAAGTGGTTGAAGGCCACACTCTTCCACGATATTAATGGAAGAGGTACAGAGTCTGGGATGGAGCTTGGGTGCAGAAGGGAGCTTGGGGTAAGGGATTGGGATGCAGGAGGGAGAATGGGGTCTGGAAGGGAGTTTGAGTGAAGGAGGTAGTTGTGATCTTGGGCAGGAGACTTGGGTGCAGGGTTTTGGAATGTGACCTAGGGCAGGAGGAGGTTGTAAGCTAGGGCAGGGGACTGGGGTGCAGTGGTTTGGTTTGTGTCCTTGGGGAATGGACTGGGGTGCAGGAGATTGGGTTGTAACCTAGGGAACAAGAGGATTGTGATCTGGGACAGAGTATTGGGGTTCCAGATCTGGGAGGAGGTATGGGTGCAGGAGGAGGGCAGATGGTTTGGGTATGTTGAGTGGGGGGGCACAGGGTTGGGGAAGTGAGGGGCTAGGGTGCCAGAGGCAGGCTCTGGCCAGGAGACTGACCAGTCAGCAGCCCAACCAGCCTGCTTGCCTGCAGAGCTAAATGCTTGCAGAGCTTAAAAAGTTTCCCAGCCAGCCAGCCTGCCCTGCACCAACACAGGCTGCACAGCCATGTGCTTGTGTGAATAACTCAGCTGGAGGGGAAGGAGGCGTGGTGTTTTGTGCGCTGCCTGTTATTCGAACAGGTAGTTCCCATTGGCCAGTTTCTGGCCAGAAGCCGGACAATGGGATTGTGCTGGGCCTGAAGCCTTCCCTCCTCCCCTCCAGACCCGCAGTTTTTAAAGAGAAATGACCCCACAGCCGCTTTTCTGAGCGGTCTGCAGGGCAAGCAGGGAAGCCTGCTTGGGGCTCCCTACTGTGTCTGTAGATCGGATCTGGTAACTTGGAAGGCTGGATTCGGCCTGCGGGCCATATTTTGCCCAGGTCTGGGTTACAAGCTTCCATAAATTTTTGTTTATTGCCCGTGACCTGTCCTTGATTTTTACTAATAATATCCATGACAGTATCTTATCCTTAAACATCAGACATTTCAGTGCCATTGAGATAAGAAATGATTCCTTACCCTAAGTTCTGTGGTAATCCCAAAGATCATCTTTAGTCAACAACAACTCTTGTTCAGTTATTCAAGTTCAGTCTGTTTTAACTCTGAAAATGAAGTGTGTACTCTATTGACATTTGATCCATTTGTTTGTGTGTGTTTCCTCCCTTCCCCCCTTTACAGTCTGGCACGACTGCTCTGTTCTTTGCTGCACAGCAAGGCCACAACGATGTTGTGAGGTTTCTCTTTGAATTTGGCGCTTCTACTGAATTTACAACAAAAGTAAGAGACTGGTCTGCTTTACTTCCAAAATTCACTTGTATTAATTGCTTGTTTTCTTTTAATCTGAAACATGGCATTACAGCAAGAAGATCATAAAAGAGTTTCCCTGCTTGCATGTTTTCTGTTATATGAGTAATGCAGTCTGCTGGCAGAAGATTATTTCAGAGTTAATTTGTATTGTCTAGATTTGATTAATTGAGTTTGGTACCATCTGATCTCATTACAGTATATATTTTTAGATTGTGAAAGCTACAATGAAGAGAACAGTCCCTCTTCTCATGCTGTCCCATAATATAGGAACAAGCGGCCACACAATAAAAAGTAAATTTAGAACAAATTTAGAACAAATAAAAGGAATTAACACAGTTTGTAGTGAGCCCATGGAATTCACTGCAGTAGGTGGTTACAAAGTTAAGTACTATAGCTGGATTTTAAAAAGCACTGGTTAATCATGTGTAAAATAGATACATAAGTAGTTACTGTATATGTGCTGAGAGAGGGGAAATAAAATCGGTTTGCTTCAGGTTTTAAGATGATCACGGAAAAAATCAGGGAAATTTTTATCTTTGTGGTCAGCATTGCATTGTTGGCTGGTGACATTATATATTACTAAGGCTGCCTGACGCTTCCCATTATAAGATCCTGTTATAACTGTATGATTTTCATTGTTTGAGCTGATTTCTTCCAGGATGGTTGTCTGCCTTAGACCATTTTAAAAAAATAGTCAAAATTGTTGAACTATTTCAAAGAATGAAGCTAGTGAAGCTTTGTTTTGTTTTGTTTTTCCCCTGTGTTAAATGGTAGTGAAATTTTCCTTGAAAATCTCTAGCTCTCCATTCCCTCCCCATGCTTTAGAGCAGAAACTTGAAATTTTGGTGGGTGACAGCCTTAGTGTCAGGGATGCACCTTTTGCCGTCCCTATGAAAATCTGCCCAAAACTGGCCAAGTGATAAGCCTTTGAAATATTGCAGTTCAAACATGTTCAATAGAGAGCTTTAAAATTATTTTTAGCAGCTTAAATCTTCAAGATCCAATCCTCATTGAGCATGCTCCATCCCCTCACAGCTCCTGTGCATATGACTGGTTTGTGCGTGTGTCATCCCCACTGAGCAACTGAGCATGCTACAGCAAAGAGCTGGGTGGTGCGGGGGGAGAGACTGGACTCAGAAAGACTTTCTCTGTAATGGCTGCTCCCAGCTTTCCCATCCAGGGTGGTGGATGGTTCCTTTGTGCCCCGGAACCTCTCTGCTGACCCTCAGGTGTATTTGAATGCAGAGGGATGAAAGCTAGACTGATGAGGGAAGGAAAGGAGTGGATTGGGACAGTGAATCTGGTGAGACTGGGGGGGGAGAGAAACTGGGACTGACTGGGCAAGGAGACGGGGACTGGGAGAGAGGAGAGGCTGAGACTGAGAGCTGGGCAGGGGAGGCGCATCCTGGGACTGGTTGTGTAAGGGAACTGAAAGCTGGAAGGCAGGGAGGGAAGGATGGGACTGAGATCAGGTGGGGAGAGTGCTGGCCAAGGAGACTGGGAACTGGTGGACAGGCTGGGACAGGCTCCCAAGAGAGACATGGGAGATGGGACTGGGAGCCAGTTGGCTGAGGGATGGGAGGGGGAAAATAATATGAGCCCATGAGAAGCTGGAGGTAGGAAGGCAACTGGGACTGGCAGGACAAAGAGACTGGGACAAGGAGCCAGGGAAAAGATGCAGGGAGAGACTGAGACTGGATGAGGGGTCTGGAGAGGTAGCCTAGGACTGGGAGCTAGTCAGATCAATCCAAGAGCTGGGAAGGACGAAACTGGGATAGGGATGTAATAGTGTAGTCGATTAACTGATTAACCGATAAGCAAAAGCTTATAAGCTTATAGGTTAATGCTATAGACTACACACATCCCCCTTCCCCCCAGCCAGTAACTTTTTAGCAGGCTGGCCAGCAACCCAGCTTAGTCCTAACTTGTGCTGGATCTGGGACCTTTCCCTGCTGCTGTTCTGCATTTAAAGTGCATTAAAGGAACCTGGCAGACAGGCAGCCTGGCACAGTTCCAGTTTGTGCTGGGTCTTGGAGCTCAGCGCCCCCCCAGGATAGGGGCCATTGCCACCCTGCACTGCTGCCTCTGTATCACACAGTGGTGCAAAGCAACAGTTCAGCGGGTCCACAAGAGGTGCTGGTTTTTAAATTGGCTTTCCTTGCAGATCAGCTCCTGCCTGACACCTCACACTGCTGCCTCTGATACAGAGGCAGGGAGCTCCTTGGGAGTGGGGCTGAGGTGCACTGGCTGCCGGCCCCACCCCCGGGGACTATAGAATAGTCAACTAACTGATAAGAATTCATGAGGTTAATGGACTATTCAATTAACGGATATTTAACATTCCTAAACCGGGACTGGCTGAGGAAGGAAACTGAGAATGGGGAGAGAGTCGGAGTTGGATGGTGAGACTGGGACGTAGACACTGAAGCTAGATATGGAGACTGGCCAGGGAAGGAGACGAGGATGATAAATCTGAGAAGATGTTTCTAATTATATGTTTCTAATTTTTCATATAACACCCCTACATATAGCGATATTAATGACAAATGTGTTGCCAATTCACATATGATCCCTTACCTTGCACATTTTAGGTACAGATTATGACAGTTAGTTGGGGTGCATGAGCTTGCTCCCTGTCCCATATGAGGGATCTCCTTGCCCTCTGAACTGGAATGCTCTTAGGATCACAGTCATGTATTGTATCAGTACTGCTAAGCTGTCCTCCCAGAGACAGACCTGGTTGCTGTCTCCTCTCCTTTCCTGCTCTTCTCTTGCTCTTCAGTCTCTCCCCGCATCTTCTCCCTGGCCCAGTCTCTTTGTCCTGCAAGTCCCATTTGACTTCCTACCTCATCCTTAGCCTCCACCTTGGCTGACTCTTCTGTCCTGTGGGAGGAACAGCTCTTACTCATCTGCACTGGGAGATGTCCAGCCTGGGAATTACCCTTTTTTGGCACAGCCACCAGTGTTTAGCAGCATGGCAAGATAGGTATTCTGTTTCTCCTGGAGAAGTTGCTAGTTATTTTTACTGGTGGCACTGCAGCTGTTTTCTTTCCCAGAGTGCAGTTAAGTTTCATGTGAGGGAGCAAATTATGAACTTATTTTATATACCAATATAATTAATGGGGCATGTCTCCCTCTGTTGGTTCACACTCAGAAACTACAACCATGTGAGATTGCTGCTGACACCTGGGGACATTACCTATAGCTGAAGTGGGGGCTTGTGTTTATAGTCTCTGGTCTGATCGCCTTTCCCAGCCAATGGGAGCTGCGGGAAGTGGAGCGGACCAAGATGGCGCTTCCTGCAGCTCCCATTGGCCGGGAAAGGTGATTCATGGCCAATGGGAACTGCAAGCGTCGGTTCCTGTGGCTGTGAAGATAAATATAGTGGTAGGGACCTATCAGGAGCAGATCCAGCCTGCATACCGGTACTTGCCCACCCCTGATCTATTGGCTGCTAGAACTGATGTTGACAGCATGCAGCTTAGTCCATTGGATCAGAGACAGGGTGTGCCGGCAGTCACCTTGCAGGGCTAAGGTTTGTATTTGTGAGAGGAAAGAAGACTAGATTAGGAGTGACAGGGAAGTAAGCTCATAGGAGGGGAAAGGACAGACAGAGCAGAGTTTTCCTGGTTTCCCATTCCTCAAAACAAGAATCATCCTACTGACAGAGCTGAGGTCTAACTTATAGGGAAAAGACTCAAAGGACTACTCACAACCATTTTCTGGCTTGATAATACATAACTTCTGTGAGCCAAATTCTTGGAGGTAGTTAGCACTTGCTGTTGCACCTTTTCTGTTGCATCTTTTCTGTATTTGTTCTGTTCTTATTGTATTTTGTTCTGTTTGTAGGATGGGGGTACTGCTCTGTTAGCAGCTTGTCAGTATGGTCACACACGAGTGGTGGAAACTCTATTGAAGCATGGTGCCAACATACATGATCAGCTTTGTGTGAGTTCATTAGAAATAGATATTAACTGTGTACTGCATATGACACTGGGAGATATATACAAAACTAGAAAAAGAGATTTAGTTAATCTATATGGGTATGTCTACACTACCACCCTAGTTCGAACTAGGGTGGTTAATGTAGGCAACCGAAGTTGCAAATGAAGCCCGGGATTTGAATTTTCCGGGCTTCATTTGCATCTTGCTGGGTGCCACCATTTTTAAATGTCCGCTAGTTCGGACTCCGTGCCCGCAGCTACACGCGGCACAGACTAGGTAGTTCAGATTAGGCTTCCTATTCCGAACTACCGTTATTCCTCGTGGAAGCCTAATCCGAACTACCTAGTCTGTGCCGCGTGTAGCCGCGGGCACGGAGTCCGAACTAGCGGACATTTAAAAATGGCGGTGCCCGGCAAGATGCAAAAGAAGGCCGGGAAATTTAAATCCTGGGCTTCATTTGCAACTTCGGTTGCCTACATTAACCACCCTAGTTCGAACTAGGGTGGTAGTGTAGACATACCCTATTTGCAAAGTTAAGTCATCTGACCTACATCGCTTAGGGCTGTGAAAAATGTTACTCCCTGTGTGATGTCACTAAGCCAACCTAAGCCCTAGTGTAGATACCGCTTGTCAAAAAAAAATCTTGTCTTGATCTACCTACCATCTTTCAGAAGATAGTAATAGATGGACACCTTCTGACACTGTATCAAGTGTTTATGCTACAGAGCTGCAGAAGTAAAATGCTTTTAGTGAATACATACTCTTAGGTATATTGTTGCTGAAAGGAAAACCTTAAAATCTGGTGGTCTGATTCTCCTTGCCTAATGTGTTTGGTTTTTTACAGCTGTTCAGAATGAGTGTTATCACATCAGAATGATAGTGTTTTACACTCTGGAATAAATAACTACAGAAATTACCAAGCGGTGCTGAAACAGACCTTTAGTTTTTCTCTTGACAAACAGATATCATTAAAGTTAGAACTGCACTTATTTTTTCTTAACATCATTACATGCTGACCCTCAGGTAAAGTGAAGATATCAGGGGAGTGTGCCTCTGTCACCTGATAGTGTTTTGATAATAAATTAAAACAGAGAACCGTACAAATGACCTGATGGATGTCAGTCAGCTGGATTTTCAGAAAGCTGGATGAATCCCCCTGTGATTTACTGTGATGGAGTTGCATACAACCTGGCTATCATAAAACAAAAATGCATGACTTCCTCCCCCTCTACCATTCTTGCTAACTCAAGTAAATCAAGACTGATAAAAAGGAAGTCATATACCCTGAGGGGTTATGATGTTCTCTGAGCTAACTACTGGGTGCTCCCCTGGTGGAGACTGTTCCCATGAGATGCTGAGAGCCTTCATCCCCACTGACTTCATAGTAGTATTCAACATCTTATCATTTCAAGCCCTAAACACACAGTATGATGTACCTGGCTATGACTTTCTGTACAGAAGGGTTGTGCCATGTTTGCTATTACACAGTAATTACTTTTTTTAGTCTGCATGGCCGTAATTAGACATGTTTGTCACTTCCTAGTAGGGAGTGCTAAGTATTTCCACTGAGATCTGAAAATAACATTTGCCACACCCAACGCATACACCTAGATGTGAAGGCAATAAAGTAACCTCCCTGCCATCTCTCCAGGAACTGAGCAGCACTCAGTCTTATTTATAAGCTTGTTTTGATTACTCCAGTTGTGCAATAACACTCTTATGCAGGCCATTAAAAAATTAAAAGTGAATTCACAGGAAAACAACTATTAGTCTAGCTTCTTTTGCACGGTGCTGCAGAATTGAATTTGCAAAGTGGTGATGTCTGGCTGCCTACGTGATTGGCAAGCTTCCATACAAAAGGGATTTCAAACCTACGCTTGTCAGAGCAATTATTCCAAAAGCATCAGGATTTTACTTTCAGTGTTTAAGATAACTAAATGTTAGCAGTGTGGCAAAGAGAAGGAGCTCTAATTAAAATGGAAACCCATTTGGCTTTGATTGGGGCTGTAATAAAGAGTGATTTTCAGATTACTGAACATTACTTGTTCTGAAAGAGGAACCGGAACAGAAGGACTCCTGTTATGTCTGTCTGGTGTGCAAGGCCTATCAAAGGGGCTAAGCACAGTTACCCAACCTTGAGTGCCTGCCTACTAGCTACCAGATACAATCTAGTCTTTGATGTGTCCAGGAACCCATAGATTATTTGTATGTTGGAAGGAGCCAGTGTGCAATTGACTATAATAATCTAAGGGCTTGTTCATACTGCACATTACTGCCTGGTATGCCATGGAGTGAATTTACAGACCACCAGGTTGCCAAGAAATAACATCTTGTGCGGATGCTGTTACAACACAATGAAAGTCCCAGTGTGTGGCTTAGTGTATTGCCCTTTCACATAGGTGTATGCTCACCCACACTCCAGGACTTTCACTGCAGTTTAGTAATGTTCACACACAATGTTACTGCACAGTAAGCTATACACCTTAGATTCATATTGTGGCTTGCCATGTAAGCAAGCCCTAAAACACACAAAGCATAAGAATCCCAGCCAAAGAGATATATGGGAAATAAAATCCCATCCATATTGGCATTAAGGGCAAACTTTCCAAATCTGGGGCCTGAAAAAGGACCACTGCAACTCACTGATGCTAATTCAGGCTCCTGGTGATTGGAAAATAATATCTTCTATGATCTAAGTAGCCCAGTTGAGTATAAACAACTTCAGTTAGTCCCAGTGTAAATGATTTGCCACCCAACATTTAAGCAAGACACTTTTGCTAAAATATTCTCTTTAGCCTGCATGTGCCTGGGGAGCATGCAGAGGGAGGGGGCTTTAGCATTTAATTCATTTATTTACCCATTTAAGCCAGAACATTTCCTCTCAACCAGGCTATGTCTAGACTGCAAGCCTCTTTCGAAAGAGAGCATCTAGACTGCACGTTGAACTTTCGAAAAAGCGGCTTGCTTTTTCGAAAGAAAGCATCCAGTGAGTCTGGATGCTCTCTTTCGAAGAAGCCCTATTTACATTCAAGAACGCCTTCTTTCGAAAGAGGAACTTTCGAAAGAAGGCGTTCTTCCTCGTAAATTGAGGTTTACCGCCGTCGAAAGAAAAGCCGCGTTCTTTCGATTTAATTTCGAAAGAACGCGGCTTGAGTCTGGACGCAGGTGAAGTTTTTTCGAAAAAAGGCTACTTTTTTCGAAAAAACCCCTGAGTCTGGAGACAGCCCCACAAAGGGAGCAAACTTCCCTTTATATGCACTTCACTGGGAACTGCACCAGCAGAGACAGCACGGGCATCGGGGATGTAAGGGGGGAAGAGACTCTGCTTTCCCAAACCGCCAGGCATAGCCCCACCCACACTCCGGCCTTAGAACACCTGCAGTAGGCGTTCTGGGGGCAGAGTGCTGGTGCCCCCAGCACCCACCCTCCTGTTGCTCCAGGACTGGGGAGGCCAGGCCTGGCCACGTGGTGTGCCCTCCTCTCTCCCCCAGTGCTCCAGGGCTGGACAGGCCAGGCTGGGCGGTACAGCATGCCCTGCTTTCTTCCTCCCCGGTGCCTCTCCAGCCCTGGAGCAACGGGGGAGGGAGCAGGGCTTGCTGCACCTGGCCCAACCTCCTCCCTCCCCTAATGCTCGAGAGGGTGGGCTGGGATTCTCTGGGCCGTGTGGTGCGCCTTTCATGGGGGCTGGGTAGGCTGCGGCAAGCACAAACCCACTCTCTCCCCTCCCCGTAGTAGGAAGGGGGAGCACAGGTGTGGCTCCTGGGGGCAAGGAAGGGGCAGGGCCTCGCAGAAGGGGTGGGGCTGGGGGCTTTACCTCCCCCAGCTCTGCCTTCACCGACTGCCCATGAGAGATGGCACCATGTCTGAATGCCTGTCCCAATACCACTGCAAGTTTCCACTCTTATCTAGTCAGATAAAAAGACAGCCAGTTGACATTTTGAAACATTTTTTCAATCGAAAATGGCCTTTTTTCAAAGCTTCCTGGAAGAAACAACCTCCCCCCCCCCCCAAAAAAGAAAAAAACAACAAAAAAACCCAACAACAACAAAAACCAAAAATCAGTTTGACTGTTGAAACCCTAACACAGAAAATGCTTTGGTTATCAAAAGCTGAAAAACATCTACAATTTAAAAAATGGTTTTGTTGAAAACCCAAAAACTTTCAGTGAAATATTTTTCAAAGTCCACACACTATCTTCCTGTGTATAAGCCCCTCGTAATTTTTGTTTATATTGCAAGTCCCCCTTTCATGGCTGATCAACAGAGATGAGTTTACTGCAGCTGTCACCCAAAGGAGTTACTCGTTCAGCTCAAGTGGTAGAAGTGAATACTTTTAGGCCCTAGTTCAGCAAAGCACTCATGTCGATTCTTTAACTTAAATACATGCTAAAGTGTGTTTTTCTTTAGCAAAGCACTTAGGAATTTTGCTGCAATAGGGATGAAGTATGAATTTTTAAGTGTTTTGGTGATTTAAGAGCCTTGTGTTCAGTGTCAGTTTTGACCTATGATCGCCTAAATTACATTTTTATACTTAAGAGGAATCCTATACCTTATATCTAGTTTGTTGTGGACTAAGTCAAGATTTTGATGGGGAGGAGTTGCTTGTGTGTACCTATTTATATGTTATTAAGTTGCATAAAGGCACAGGAAGGGAAATATGTTTTGATATATCTAATGTAGTTTTGCCAATTAAGAAACTTAATTTATTTTTACTCAGGATGGAGCTTCTGCACTTTTTCTGGCTGCCCAGGGAGGTTATCTGGATGTCATCCGATTATTATTATCTTCAGGAGCAAAGGTCAACCAGCCAAGGCAGGTAATGTTCAGCTCTGCATTACCAAACCAGACATGGCATTTAATTAACATTACTGATGGAATTTTCAAAGGCCCTAAGGGAGTCTTCAAACTGGAGCATAGCTCAAGTTGCGTAGCTTATTTCGAGTTTAGCCCTGCTCTGTAGACATGCCCCTAATGTCCTCAGGCCGCTTTGAAATTTCGTCTTAAAACACTTGCATGAGATAGCACTCCATATATCCCCTGCTGAGGTCAATCAGTCAGACATATGCACTTATTAAAACCCTATCACAGCTATGACTTTAGTATCAATCTTAATCTTTGATTAAAAAAAACTCTTTTAATTTTGAGTTTCCTTCATGCTATCTATGTATACTGTAACAATCAGAGTAAATTGTAGTTTAGCCATTAAACATTTGGTACTTCTATAATACTCTGCCATCCCTGTTTCCACTTACGTTCTGATGCCAGAAAGCACTTAACCCTGGGCATAACTTTAAGCATGAGAGGAGTTCCACTGAAGACAATGGAGCTATTCTCGTGCTTTGTTACACCATGTGCTTAGCGATTTGCTGTTCTGATTGTCTGATTCAATTCTCATTAAAGTCAAGTGGACTCAAGAGAATGCAAACATTTTAAACTACATCAGAAAGTAAAGACAGATGTAAGGTTCCTAACATATCCATAATTTTCCCTTCTTATATCTGTATACAGTGGGCCCAGTTTTCAAACAGGGAATCTTAATTGGTCAGCTACCTTCTTGCACTTGGATGCTGAAATCAGCTCTTAAATATAAATTGAGCACTTAGTTACTCATATTTGAAAATGGGGCTTCCCAGAGTGCATGATTCTACATCCGAGAATCTCATCTAAGGATTGCTGAACTAGTTCAAATAAGCTAACTAGCCGGAATCTTCACCACTCTTAATCTGTACATTTAAAAATCTCTGGATAGTGTTCTCTTCTCGCATTGTCAATGTGGCTGTGTCTAGACTTGCCAGTTTTTCCGGAAAATCAGCCGCTTTTCCGGAAAAACTTGCCAGCTGTTTACACTGGCCGCTTGAATTTCCGCAAAAGCACTGACTTCCTACTGTAAGAAATCAGTGCTTCTTGCGGAAATACTATTCTGCTCCAGTTCAGGCAAAAGTCCCTTTTGCGCAAAGCTTTTGCGCAAAAGGGCCAGTGTAGACAGCTCAGATTTGTTTTCTGCAAAAAAGCCCTGATCGTGAAAATGGCAATCAGGGCTTTTTTGCGGAAAAGTGCTTTTGCGGAAAAGCGTCCGTGCCAATCTAGACGCTGTGTTCCGAAAATGCTTTTAACGGAAAACTTTTCCGTTAGAAGCATTTCTGGAAAATCATGCCAATCTAGACGCAGCCTGTATGTCCAGCTGGTTTCAGCTGGGTAAGAAATCAGGAAGTAGGAGCAAAGAGGATGGGAAAAGCCCCAATTCACACTAGAATGTAACACGTGAATAGGCTGTCCAGCTTTTCCTCTATTTCCTGTCAAAATTTTATACCCAGAAGAGCCCAGCAATTCATAGTCAGGCAGCAGAGAACTACTTCAGCAACTTCTTTGATGGCCACGGGGTGTCTTGTCCCTGGAAAAATCTCTGCTGTTACTTAGCACAAGAAATAGAACCATCCATTCATATACCCACATGAAGACCCTCCTACACCTCTGTCTGTTCCCTCCCTCAACCACAAGATTTCTCTTTATAGGTAGGAAGTTTGGCAGGTATCCCCTGGGCTGTTGCTTAAATTACTCCTTGACTACCTGAGACTGTACTGTCTATCTAGATTTGTCTAGACTGTGATTTGTTAAAAGGTGATAAACAAGTAATACATTCTATATATCTAGGGCAGTGTATACTTCAATATGAGCTCAACTGGTCAAGTTAAAGCCATGGGGGGAGCTTTGGCCTGACCATGTTAGCCCATGTTAAAGAGTACACTGCCTTGTCTACACTAGTCTCTTAGAACATTGTACTTAGGTCACATGTTAGCTAACACCACTCTTAAACCCTAGTGCAGGCCAAGCTTCTCTGTCTTGTCTCTAAGGGTAGGCACAAAACACCTGCTGGGTGTGGCACTTTGTGTACATCTAGTGACACCTAGACAACCTAGAAATAGATGAGTCTGTTACAGACTTGGTTAAGATCCATGGGGCTCATGTCATCCTCTGACAGCATTAATTTTACATTATAATTAAACTCCTGCAGCTGGTCTGGGTCAGCTGGCTCAGGATTACTTGGCTTGGGCTGTGGGGCTGTAAAATTATGGTGTAGACATTCAGCCTGTGGCTGGAGTCTGAACTCTGGACAGCAGTTTTACAGCCCCACAGCCTGAGCTCCATGAGTCAGGTGACCTGGACCCACCTCTGTTCAGTTGTGCATCTTTTATTCCAATGTAAAAGTCCCTTAGCAGTCTAGACCAGTGTTTCTCAACCAGTGGTACGAGTACCCTTAGGGGAACTCGAGAGGAGTCTGGGGGGTACATTAACACAACTGAAATTTGGAGAAAACCGAATTTTTGTTTTAAGTTTTACAGCACTTTATTATTTTTGTACTTTTCACACCCAAAAATTTCATCACCCACCTGGTTACGATTAAGTTGTTTAAATAAATGTGTTGCAATGGTAGAAAAAAAAAGTGTGTGTCTGAAAATTGTAGGTACTGGAAGTATTTATTATTTATTTACAGGCAGTCCCCGGGTTACGAACAAGATAGGGACTATAGGTTTGTTCTTAAGTTGAATCTGTATGTAAGTCGGAACTGGCTCCAGATTCAGCCGCTGCTGAAACTGATCAGCGGCTGACTACAGGAAGCCCGAAGCAGAGTTGCTCTGCCCCCAGCTTCCTGGAATCAGCTGCTGATCAGTTTCAACAGCGGCTGAATCTGGACTCCTGGGACAGGACAGCAGGGGCGCCGCCGGGGGGGGGCCT